TCAAAATGTTAATTAAAAATACTCTGTGATTACGCTGCTGTATAAAATTATATATATAATACATAAAATTGCTATATGTGTTATAAAAAGTTAATGTTAATACCTTTCTGAAGATATTATGAAAAGTAAGGAAATTTGTACGTCATATTAAATAGTAATTACATATTCTGAATTCTATGTTTACGCCAATGTTCTGAAATTCATCGCGTCACTCACTTTTTACTATTTCACGTGCTTTCGATACATTTATTTGTTTTCTTCGTTAGGCGGTCCGATTGGTCGTGTGAGCGCTTCAGCAAATAGGGCGTTAGAGCCAAAAATACATGTGAGAAGAGACACATCCCCTCTACTCTGACCAATCGGACCCACATTGCTTTGCCTAGTCATCTTCTCAGCGACTGACAGTACATACAGAATAGACCTAACACCTAATGTATTTCTGTATTACATTCTGAGGGCTGAGACTGCCCTTACCATTTTCGTATCGCTTCCAACGTTACCAATTCAGCATAGAATAAGATTACAACATTAGTAATTGTTGGAATTAGAACAAAATGTAACTATGAAATTACAAATAAGGTATAGGATAGGATATCATATAATCGTTCACGAAATATAAAATTCTATACTTATACACGTATAAATAATACAAACATTAGGTTGATCGAAAAGTTCTATTGTTTTATTTTCAGAGAAAGTAAACTAAGGTTTCTCCGATGAAAGTTTTACCAATTCGTCTGTGGTATAACATTTATTGCTACTTATAATTGCCTCCTAAGTACCCAGTAATTTATTTATCCCCTTTATGTGAAATTTCTCATTCTTGCGATTAAAATATTATGGCAATAGGTTTGCAAGTTCATTGCACCGTGTTCTTATAGTTTATATTTTGACAATTAGAATCGGTATACATTTGTGTTTTCTGTTATTTATCGAAAGTTTCGAACGGAATTGCAAATGTGCACGAGAAAATTGATGACAAAACTTTTCGATCAACCTAATACTTGTTCATTCTTACAGTTTGCTTTCACATGGGTGAACAAACAGTTGATCGGGACGATAAATCTGAGATTATAAATTTAGAAATTATTATGATGTTACTTTTTTCCGATTTTAACATGTTGATTTTAAATTTAAAATTACAATTTTAAAATTACGATTTTAAAATTACAAATACACATTGTATTACTATATTAATACTGTTAATTCCAGCGGTTTGTGGTATTAGTAATATATGGCAAAGCCTTAGTACAAGCTTTACTAACAATAACACTTATTTATTTATAATGTAACGCAGGTTGTAAGGCTGTGTTAATGTACAAAGGTTCTGGTTTAATCTGAACTGTTTCGTCCAGTCTGGGGTCTCGAGATGTTCTTTCCGATGGTCTTGGAGTTGTTCTCCCCGTTGGATTTGGAGATGTTCTTCCCAAAGGATATGGAGTTGTTCTGTTCGATAGAGGAACGCTTTTCACCGAAGTCAAAAACGCTTGCTCCATCGTCCGAGAAAATTCCCTCGAAGTCTTATTTTGGAGGGAAATTCAGAAAAGTGGGACTTAGGATTGTCCAATTAAAAATTGGGGCGGTTTCCCGGTTGTGCAACGCCTA